GGGCTAACCGGGTATGGGCCAAGTCATTGGGCACCCCCAAAATCTGGGGTGTCTTCTGAGTCTTCAATTTTGACCCATCCCGATTTATATCCTCCAGTTTAAACCATGGTTTTTTCATCCAGTTTATCATGTGAAAACTCATGTGATATTCCTGATATATTTTCCATAAACATCCATAAACCATAGTTGTTTGGATCTCGGTCCCGGGGGTCCAGCTTTTGTTTCAGGTGGAATGATCTCTTTAGCTCAGAACCTTGGATGAGATTTGTTCGAAGCCAGTGCTGCCGATGGCGCGTTTTGACCAGTACCTGTTACCATTTAGATATTACCCAAGTATCCAAGTGGGGTTTATGATTTAGGGATATAATATTAAGGGACTAAATATGAGCGGCATATGAGTGGTTTTTTATTTTAAGTGAAGTGAAGAGTAGTTTTAGGGCATACGGTTGTCGAAAGCAACATATTTAGTTAAATTTAGTTTGCAAAACGAGGTAGGAACACTCCTAGGAGGAACACCCGGGTCGATTGCTTGATGTACCAAAATACTTCCCCTGGCTCACATGGCTATGGATCAAAACCCAATATAATATACCATATCATATCATATTATAACATATTATATTTACCATATTATACCATATTATACCATATTATACCATATTATACCATATTATACCATATTATACCATATTATACCATATTATACCATATTATACCATATTATACCATATTATACCATATTATACCATATTATACCATATTATACCATATATATGATATTTAATATATATCATATGTTTCCATGTATTTAAGTACCCCGGCTTTGGACCCATCTCCTGGCGAGACTTTTCACGACAATTCGGACGCCACCCTTCGCCTCGGTTGAGGCTTCCTACATCCTCTACGAATTGGCTGGTGACGCCATGACCACCATGACCCTGACGCACGATTGGGAGTGGCCTCTAAGCGAAAAGATGTGACCAGGTGAACCCGGTGCATCATGAGTTTCATGTTCAGATGGATGGGATGGTAACGGATGGAATTCAACCATATGAAAAACCATCATTTTTTTTGGAATGTCATGGGGAGTATTGCAATTAATTTGGTGATAAAACATAGTTTATTCAAAAACATATTATAGTGGGTGATACTAGCTACTAGCATCTACTAGCTGATTTATTGCGGACAGTTAAAACATGTTAAAACCCATAGATACCCATAGCGGGCCAGCAATGTCACTCCGGGACTTCAAAGTCATCCATCTTCAGATCTTTGTGCACAGATTCTGGCTGCGTCCGAAAATGGTGCATACTTGTACCCCGAAATTTGCAAACATTTGAAGGAAAAATGGTAACCAGAGGAATTCAGGGGTTTTCCAAACACCGGCAGCTTTTGACAATTCTTTGCCCCATCTTTGGTGCAGGGTGTGGTAACTCTTAGAGTCTGGAGATGGGGCAATAGAATGGAGGTTCTGACCACGCATATCCCGGTGCCAAAGATGATTCGACAGGTTGGGGAAATTCAAGCAACAGCAAGTGTCCAATCAGTTCGGTCAGATGCAAGAACTTTGGCTAATCAAAATAGTGCATCTAACGCCAAAAAGCAAAACTGCGCAGGCACATGATAGGTCTTTGAGATGTTTTACCCTGAGTCTAAACTTAATTTAGGTAAAGTCTGGCTGGGTCAAGATATCTACTTCTGCTTTGGATGTCTCTGGCTGTCGTGGTGTGCAGCCAATTACCCTCCAGCAATCAAAGAAATGGCAATTTTGGAAATCAGCGATTTGCATCACATTTGAATGGGACAATCATTACATATTACAATGAAATTATAAATGGTGGATTTTCCATTGCCATGTCTGATTGCAAGGAGGATATATATAGGATATATATATATATATACATTAAATCACCAAAGATCTTCACAGATTTTTCGCTCAAGCGCTCTGAGGACAGAATATCCATATATCGCCGAAGCCTTGAGGTGATTTTTTGCCTCCGAAAGACGGATGGACTGGTGGTGGGTTACGCTTCATGGATTACCATCTGGTTATGACATTCACAGTTTGCCATGGAAAGATCCACCATGCTATTAAGAACGGTAAAGCATCTATTTCGATTAGGGCCATCTATATATACCATGGCTATGTAACAAATAACCAGAGGGTAATCTTCAAATTTAAAGGGATGTCATGGAAATTATGATAACCAGCTGCTATCATACTACATGACTCTTTTGGCAATGTATCTCATGTTAGCCCATGACTTGTTGCATGTAACAACCATACCCAAGCTGCATTGGATGTCAGCCAGCCGTTTCAAATGTGGAGGCACCTGGGGTTCACGGAGCTCCCCTATGCCCTGGCCTCTCGGCTTTCCGCAGTTGCCTCCTATTGGTAAATAGATCAGGTTGATCATATATAATAGAGCTGATCATATGGAGATCATTTGTATTTGTATAGCTGCAAAGACGGATAGCTTCTGCAGGGAGTAGGAATGTTACTTGTTGTTTTTTGTAAGTGTGTAGTCATAGAAGTTCAAGATAGTCGAAGTGTGTTGAAGTCACAGCCGTAGCCATACACTCGAAACATATCTTACAACATCTTACAACTAGGAACCCGGAAACTTTTTGCCGCTAAACTCGACCACTAAGTGACACTGACAGTCACACTGACAACTGCCACTGACAACTGACAACAACTGCAGGCGACAATTAGTCTTGGCCCTTCGAAGCTTCTTGGCGGGATCTCTGTGTCGATTGGGTGAAAAACTCGACCAGATGCAGGTTCAGGTTCTCCGTTGAATCAGATACGTGCCGTGCTCAAATTGCTGGGTAATTTTTATGGTAAATGATGGTAAATTGCTAGATTCTTAGGAAGATTCTTGGTCATCAATCCATTATTTTAGGAATTCTTATCATTTCTTATCCATGTTCATAAGAATTTCTATGGATTTCTTCAACATTCTTAAACTATTTCTCTGGATTCCATTGGATCCCCCGATCGATCCCATGCAACTGCATAACTGGCATAACGAGAGACACCGAGGAAGAAATGGGCCGTTGGCCTTGCGACGACACTCGAGCTGCAATCCGCGGATCACATGGCTGGAAAATCTGAAAAAAGGAGGATCATTGAGGTTTATAGCTGGGAAAATCATCTTAAATCATCACAAAATCATCACAAAATCATCACAAAATCATCTTAACACATCATAAATCAATATAAATCCATTTCCATGCTTCGATTACCAGAGGTTATTTGTGACTACGGCAGCTACGGGATCCCAAAACAACTGAACTTTTCAGGGGGTGAAAGAAGCGCCAGACGGATTCTACACATTCAATGCTGAGGAACGGCAAGCTGCGGCAAAAGGTCGTGAAGTTGCTTGGCAGATGCGCGCCATAAAGAAACAACAGTTGATTTGTTCGTCATGTAGGTTTTTATTACTTCCTTCTGGCGTGAGTCAGTGCATTTGTACTAATTTATCTTTAGTTCATTGTTATTTGTTTATATACACGCACTGTTTCAGTCATCCCTTGATGCACTTGTTCAATCATTCAGTGGTTTAGTCGGATAGTACTGATTTTCTTTACTCCCTCACGTTTTTTGTTTAAAGCTTTGCTTCATTCATTCATTCATTCCCTCGCGCAGGCAATGATTTACTGTACATATTCATTACTTTTACTTACTCATTAACTCATTTGCCCATCCATTCAATCAATACTCCATTTTGTCCTTCATTAATTTCCAGCTTTGAATGATTTGCTTAATAATTCATCATATGAGTACATACTACTAATGTATTGCTTTACTTTCATGTGTTAAGATTTTGTTTTATCCTGCCTTCAATGTACCTTTCACCCACTTTAATTCATTCCATTTCTTGTCATTCTTTCCATTCCATTCCATTCCCACTACCTTCCGTTCCATCCTATGCCGTTCCATTTCGTTCCCTTGTCATTTCTTTGTTTCTCCGTTCCATGTCATTCCGTGCCATGCCTTTTCTTTCCGTTCCAGACCATTCGAATTTATGTGTTCAATCCATGTGTCACTAATATTTATATCTATAGTCTATCTATATTATATCTATTCTTTCCATGCATTTGTCCATATTAGTTTTTTTTTTTGTTTTTTATATACATTTTTAAGTCTTGAAGGTTCTTTATTTATGTGTTCTTATTTGTTTCCCACTATTATGGTTTATCTTCGTTTCAGGCATGTATGATCGTATGATATTTATGTGTATAGTGTTTTGTTTATGTTTTGTGTGCGTTATATATAGTGTTAATGGTTTGACTATCTTTGACTTTTCATGTCATTGTCGTGTCACGCCATGGGTCATTGACTTTCGCGGTTGATAGCTGTGGCGCCACTGCGCCAGCGTCACGAATCTCTGAGTCACGTCACAAGTCTGGGCGTTCAACGAATGGAATATCATGAAAGACCCACTAATACATTAATATGACATTATGGTAAACCCAATGCCGTAAACAAATAGCATTTAAGGATGCTTCGTACAACCCATTTATGCTCGTTTTGGGATGGGTTCACAATTGGGTTTTTCCACATCAATGTGTTTCATGGATGTCCAGCTGTGGAGGTTGGACCAAACATGATGCCGTAAAAAAAAGAGAGCCTCTGATTGTCTGGACACAATAACTCTAGCTCAACAGTGGTTAGTTCTGGGGATTTGAACATATTCCAAACCAAAAAAACAAATTGGATTTAGTAGTTATTTAACTATAGAAATTCTTCATTTCTTGTCTAGATCTGAGGTCCCATTCAACATGTACAGGTAAGGGCTTGAGCTAGGCTAGTTGGTTTGTAGTGGTTTCACCCCAGCCCTTTTGGCTTACTAGTGCAACGGTGGTAGAAAAGGTTGTTAGTGCTACGTTTGGGTTTTCATGGTAGCCGAGCTCCTGGTTGCTGAGTGATCCACAGGATCTTCGACACTCCGCTCTCCTGAGCCGGCACAGGATCGTTTCGATCCGTGCCAACGATGGCGTCGCCATCAGGCCAGGGGTCACCCACTGGAGGAGGCAGCAGATCAGGCCAAGCTGAGCAGATGCTGATGCAGATGTTGCAACAACAGCAGCAGCTCATGATGGGGCAACAGGCGCAGCTGGATAACCTGGCCAGACTAGTAGAGCGGCAGGCTCCTGCGCATCCCCGGGGCTTAGTGGACTTGAAGGCAGTTGGTCGCCCAGAGTCTCTTGGTGGGAACCTTGACCAAGCTACGTCAACTTGGCGGCAGTGGAGCTACAAGTACGAACTGTGGCTGGCCTCCCAGTGGGAAAATGGAGCTCAAGTGCTGAGATGGTGCGAAGCTGAAACGGCCACCATCGACCAAGCAGTGCTCACAGCAAAGGCTGCAGAACCAGGTTTTGAGACACTTCCCCAGCTGAACCGGCAACTTGAAGTGACACTAGCTTCCTTGACAAAGGATGTGCCTGGCGATATTGTCTTCAACTCACACCGTGGATCTGGGTGCGATGCATGGCGCAGACTGTCTGCAAGGCTGAACCCAAACAACCCTCTGTCCAATCTGCGGCTACTGCGGAAGATCATGTCTCCATCCCAGGTCACGGACATCTCTGAGCTCCACCCTTCCCTTGAAAGATGGGAGAGCTTGCGGTCAGACTACGCAAAGAGGCCAGGGTGCAGCGACTTGACTGATGAGCAAGCACGTGTGGTGCTGTTGGCTATGGTTCCTGATGCTCTGCGGGAGTACCTGGACTTGAACCTGGGCCGTTTGAACAGCTATGGTCTCCTACGCAATGAGGTGCTGGCCTACGCAGAGCAGAAGCGACAGCGAGAAGCTGACGACTCTTCTGGAGCCCAACCCATGGACGTGGATGCGCTGACAAAAGGTTCTGGAAAAGGGAAACGTGCTGCCACCAAAGAGGACTTGTGCCACCACTGTGGCAAGCCTGGTCACTTCAAGCGTGACTGCAGGCAACTCAAGGCTGAAGGGAGGAAGAAACCACCGCCCAAGGGCCGCGGGAAAGGTCGCGGCAAGGGTGGCGGCAAGAAAGGATCCGCTGCAGAGCTGGATGGCGGGGAAGAAGAGAATGAGGAGCCAGAAGGAGAGCAAGAGGACGCAGAAGAATTTGCAGACATCGGCTTCCTTTCCGTCCTGACAGCTGAGGAGAAGTCCATGCTGAACAAGGCCGTGGAATTAGCTGAAGATCCGGATGAGGCCGACTACTACGAAGACTGCCTGTGGAAAGAAAGTCTTCCCACTGGCTCGGCTTTGGAAAAGCTTTGTGGCTTAGGACTGCTTCAGTCCGAGCCATCCTCCAGTTCCACCGCGCTCGCCAGCCAATACGTGAGTACCTGCCCAGCCTCTAACAAGGTCTACGGCGACAACTCTGCAAGCAGCGCGCCCACTGGACTGCGAATGGCCACCAGGGCTCTGTCCAGTCAAATGGCAAGCTGCATGCAGGACCTTCGCGTGGCCATGGCAAAGGCAGAGGAAGATGGCGACCTGGAGGAGCTTGAGTCTTTGCGCAAGTCACGGCAAGAACTACAGGCTCAATCCGAGAAGGCAAAAGCACAAGGCCAAGATGTCCGCCGTTCTCGCAGCAGACGTTTCCAGGCAGACATTGAGGCTGGCAAGAATGCCCGAGAGGCATGGCGAAAGGAGAAATCTCGTCTTCGAGCTGGCAAACACCGCCAACAATCAAGGCCAGAGCGAGCTGCCGAACGCATGGCGTTGGAAGAGGAGTGGACGGTCAAACACCGTGCTCCTGGCGCTGCTTCGCACAAGGAGAAAGCATACCCACTGATGCCTCATCTGGAGGATGAGGTTTCTGCTCCGTTGACCAAGAGTGAGCGTCTGGACTGCAGGCAAGAGTGGGATGAAGCTTGCCCTACTGTGCGAGAAAGGCAATGGAGCAAGTCAGGAAAGAAGCAGAAAACTTGGCAGCAGAAACAAGCCAAGGCGAGGCGCGAGGAAGGAAGGCTGAAAAGGAAGCAGGCAGCGGAGGCTGCGCTTTCCTGTCACAAGTCTCCGCCTGGGCCACCTCCCTCTGAAAATAAAGCTGGCTCAGGGTCGGTTCGACCCGAGCCAAAACAACTCAAGCCAAGTCCGCCTCCTGGACCACCGCCATGGTGGAATGGCAAGGACGCCGCCAGTGGACGGGTCCTAGCCCTGGAGTCACCGGTGGAGGAGGCGAAGTCTGCGCAAACTAAGTGGCAGAAATTGGTTGTGACTTTGGACTCTGGAGCATCAGACAACGTGATGCCAGTGCACCTTGCCAAGCAACAGTGCATGGGTCCTGTCAAAGGCGTTAAAGAGTTTGCCACGGCGACAGGGTTCAAAATCCCTAACCTTGGCAGCGTCACAATGGACATGTACCTGCCAGACTGGCGCAAGTTCTCTTCCAACTGGAGCGTGGCTGACGTGAAGCGTCCTCTGCTGTCCATGACGAAAGTTTTGCAAAATGGGCATAAAGTAGTGATGGATGCAAAGTGCTCCTACATCCAAATGAAGAGTGGCCAGCGCATCAATCTTGACCTCAGTACTGGTGTGCCCACCTTCAGCACATGGGTGCTGATGCCTTTTCCCGGGCAGCCAAAGATGACTCAGGCGTAAGGCCCAGACTGGCAGCCAGCGCGCAGCAAAAGTGTGCGGTTTTGGACGAACAGGGTTCGAGCAGGGTTTACTCAGTGTTTACTCTTGAAAAGTCTAAGACTAGAGAGTTCGATCCCATCCTTTCTTTTCCAAATGGCTCAAGTGTTTCACCTAGCAATTTTCCTTGTAGTCCACCCTTTACTGTACAGTTTCAAAAGGGGCTCGGCTTGGCATTTTGCCAAGCGCTAGTTCGGGGTAGGACAGGAACAGGTTTGGTTCAAGCCGTTCCTGAAATTCAACCGGTCCAAGTGCCTCAAGCTGCAGTCGAGGGGACTGAGGCTGCCAACCGGCAGGAGGCTTCCGAAGGCTTGCTCGAAGCTGACGAAGCTCAACTTGCGCAGCCGTTGTCCACTCCCGACCAGCCCACAGAGCAGATGATCCGCGAACATGAAGTCTCCCATATACCGTACCGCGCCTGGTGCACTGCTTGCGTGCGTGGGCGAGGGCGAACAATGCAGCATCGCCGGGTAGACCACTCGGACAACTTAATCCCAACTCTGTCCATGGATTACGGGTTCCTTGGCGATGGCCTTCCCTTTGTCGTTCTTCGCGACAGAAAAAGCAAGGCAATCTTCGCTCACCTTCTCCCTCACAAAGGCGTTGCGTACAGCAGTTTTCCCGAGCGTGCAATCCTCCGCAATCTTGCATTTCTGGGTTACAAGCGGCTTGTTCTCAAAAGTGATCAGGAAAGTTCTTTGAAAGCTCTCCGTGAAGCGGTTGCCAATGGCTACCCCGCAGAAGTCACGTGCGAAGATGCCCCCAAAGGTGGCGCGCACGGGCAGAGCAATGGCGAGGCTGAACGTGCGGTCCAAACCATCCAGGGAATGGTCAGAACGCTTGTCTCGCACATTGAAGAAAAGACTGGGCAACCACTCGGCAATACTTCCCCTGTCATTGCTTGGGCAGTTGAGCACGCTGCAACTTTGCATCTGCTCTTCTCAAAGGACACAGAACTGAAGGATGGCTTGACGCCGTTCCAGCGAATCAAGGGGAGAGCTTGGCACATACCGCTGCCATGCTTCGGTGAAATCGTCGAGTTCCGCAAGCGCACGGAAACCAAATCTGAGCCTCGGTGGGAATCTGGCATCTACCTTGGAACTCGCATCACCTCCAGCGAGAAAATCATAGGAACTGCCCAAGGGACGTTTGTGGTCCAATCCCTCAAGCGAAAGCCGCCTTCTTCGCAATGGGACATGGACTTCTTGAAAGAGTTCAAATCTCTTCCTTGGAGCCTGAAGCCTGAAGGTCCCACGTCCATTCCTGCTCCTGCTGACATTGCTCCGGAACTTCCGGACGCTGTGGTGCAGGGACCGGTTCGGCCCGCGCCAAAGGAAGAAGCGGGGCGCAGGATGTACTTGAGGAAAGCCGATTTCGACCAATTCGGTTTTACCGCAGGTTGCAGCGCCTGCGACGCATTGCGTGAAGGTCGCTCTCGTGCTGGCATACTCCATTCGGATCATTGCCGTGATCGGATCACCAGTCGTCTCAAGGACACTCCGGCAGGGAAAGATCGCCTTGAAGCGAACCTGGAACGCGAAAACAAGTACCTTGCCAGGTACATTGAGCGGGAGGATACTGTGTCAAAAGCATCGGCGTCGTCGCGCGCTTTGCCTTCTACCCTTGAGCAGGGCACGCCTTTGCCTAGCGCGCCTGTTTCTCACAGCCCCATGCCGATGACTCCAACCATGGAAGTTGAGCAGCCCGTCGACCCAGAAGATAAGAAGAGGCCTCTGTATGAGCCGGCGTCAACAATGCGACAGAAAGTCGCGCGTGCTTCGCCAACAACCTCTGGAATTCCTGCTCCCTCCTCACGAAAGCGTGTTGCTCAAGACCAAGGGGATGAGGACAGGATCAGGGTTCTTGAGTCAGACACGCGCGCAGAAGCTCAGAAAAGACCTTTGGAGCCAGGAGGCGACCTGGACCAGCTGCTGGCGCAGGGCGAAGATCTGGTAGATGGTGCTCTTGCTGCGCACCGCTCTGCTGTCCTTGCAAACCTGATTGCAGAGCAACCGCACCGCCCACTTGCTGATATAAAAGACGAGTTCGAGCCATGGTTCCTGGAGCAGTCCTTCTACGATGACAACACTGGCAAGCCACTCCCCTCTAAGGGCGTTATGGAAGCAAGGTATGAGGAACTGCAGGTGATCAAGCAGATGGGTGTCTGGGAGGTCATCAAAAGACCTAGGAATGAAAGGACCATAGGCACAAGATGGATCGACATCAACAAGGGCGACAATCTGAGACCAAAACTCAGAAGCCGCATTGTGGCGCAAGAGCTGCGTCGCAAGCCATCCCACACTGGAATGCCCGAAAGCCATTGGGCAGACTTCTTCGCAGCCATGCCCCCATTATCCGCCATGAAGGCCCTCCTTGCTTTGGCCACCACTGCGCGGGTACCGGACATGGCAGGAAAACTGCAACCTATGCCAAAGGACAGGGTCTTGATGTTTCTCGACATCAAGAAGGCTCATTTCTGGGCCCCAGCCCGTCGAAGGATACTGGTTGAATTGCCCGACGAACTTGGACTGTCCAAAGACTATGTGGGACTCCTTCACCGTTCCTTGTACGGAACAAGGGATGCTCCCCTTAACTGGGAAATGGCAATTCGCGATGTGATGGTGCAACTGGGTTTCCAGCAAGGCCGGTCGTCGCCTTGTTTGTACTACCATCCACAGCGGCGCGTTCTGTGCTCTGTCCATGGAGACGACTTCATGGTCCTAACTGGGCACAAAGATGCCATTTGGCTGCGTGATCATCTTGCGGAAGCATGGACCGTTGAAACCCGAGGCATCCTTGCTCCTCCTGACAGCAATTTGCCCGATTGTGTTCAACAACTGTCAGTCTTGAACCGCTTGATCACGTGGTCGGATACCGGCATTGTACTTGAGGCCGACCCACGGCACGTAGAACTGATCGTGACAGACTTGGGTCTCAAAGGCAGTGTCCCTGTCACTACACCTTTGCTGAAAGCCAAAGCTTCTGAAGAAGTTGATGAGACTCCGCTGTCTGATCAGGACGCTAGCCGCTACAGATCCATTGCGATGCGCATTGGGTATTTGGCTTCAGACAGGCCAGATCTTTTGCGATCCACACGAGAGCTGGCTAAAGGCTTGCAACATCCTACTTGTCATCACTGGTCTCTCCTCAAAAGAATAGGGAGGTACTTGAGTGGTCATGGACGACTAGTGCAGAAGTTCAACAACCAGGACAAGATCACCGAACTCACAGTCTGGTCCGACAGCGACCATGCCGGGTGCATCCGTAGTCGGAAATCGACCAGCGGCACTGTGATCGCTTTGGGCAGCTCATGCATTGATGCCCGTTGCAAGGGGCAAGCTCTGATAGCACTGTCCAGCGCCGAAGCGGAGTTCTATGGTCTTATCAGCTCTGCCTCTCACGGTCTAGGAGAACAGTCCATGCTGAAGGACTGGGGCATCTGCTGCCCGCTCGTGATCAACATGGATGCTACCAGCGGCATTGCCATAGGTAGTCGTCGTGGTCTTGGGCGGGTCAAGCACATTGACACATCCTTCCTTTGGATCCAAGACTGCGTGCAGGAAGGCAAGATCAGTTTGCGCAAGAGGAGCACTCAGGAAATGTGGGCTGACCTCATGACTAAAGCATCTGAAGGGCCAAGAATCAAGCAACTCCTCGATCTCATGTCTTTCGAGTTCAAGTCTGGAAGTCATCCTTTGGCTTTGCGTGTGTAGATTCGTTTCGCTCCACGCTCTGAAAGGGCTTGAGCCGTGTCTGATGGGATACACCTCAGTCTGTACTCGTATGCAAGCTGTGCTTCCACACTCGGGAGGCGTGTCTAGATCTGAGGTCCCATTCAACATGTACAGGTAAGGGCTTGAGCTAGGCTAGTTGGTTTGTAGTGGTTTCACCCCAGCCCTTTTGGCTTACTAGTGCAACGGTGGTAGAAAAGGTTGTTAGTGCCACGTTTGGGTTTTCATTTCTTTGCTTTTTCCAAGGATTATTCTTGAAACATCTTGAAACATCTTGAAACATCTTGAAACCCCAGTTGACCTGAAACTGTTTGGGTGCGCAAGAGGGCGGCACTTCTCAGGCTGTCTTTAGCTGTGGCTTTAGCCGCAGATGCTGCGTCGCTGCAGGCGCTTCGTTGGATACGACCGTTGCGGTGGTGTGAAAAATTGGAAGATGTTTCTTTTCCGGGGATTTAACCATCATTTACCCTCTGGTAAACATACAAAAAACTATGGAACATCACCATTTTTAATAGGTAAATCAACTATAAATGGCTATTTTACAAGGTATTGATGGGGTTTTAACTATCAATCATATGGGAATATCATTGATAAATGATGGATTGATGGTTGATGATTAATGGAAATATGATACGGGATTATACTAGCCAATATATTGGGTAATATCAGAATCCCCTAAAAGGGACCCCAAAAACCGTGCGGCAGCGAAGGGACGACACCAGGCTTTGAGCCTGCTCAAATTGTTATTTTATATACGTCAGACAGTGGTGATTACCAAGGATCGCGACGGATTTTTTTTTTCCCCCTCAATTTTCAGGCAACGCCCCATATCTACTGTATAAAGTGGTTGAAAAAACCATGCTGCAATGGTGTTGTGCAGCTGGTTGGTTGTTTCATGTCATATGTCCTTCTTGAGATGAAGACCTCAATTGCCTAGTGCTTTTGGATGGAAAAATTGGATGGGTTGAAACCATGAACCGCGACAGATGAACCAACTGATTGTCCACTGCAGAGCTTCCGGTACCAATCTCATCGAGCAAGGACATATTCCAGGATGCATCCAGGACGATGGTATTCCTACGATGTTTGTGGCCCCAAGTGTCTGAGGGGTGTTGAAGAAAACCACCGTGGACCCAATTTGTTGTTGGTGATTTTGTTGCATCTCAATTGATGGCTTCACAAAGTAATAGCTTTAAGTTTACCATTGAGTCCGATCAAATCCCATTATAACTTATAGCGTTAAGTCAAGTTAAGGTGATTTTGAAAGTAACTCTTGTAAACTTGTAAACCACTCAAGTGATAGGCAATAACCAGATCTAGAATCACTCAACAGTTGACAACAGCCTTTAGGCCACGATGAGAAATCACCCCGGCTTCAAAGAACTATGTGAGGCCGGGTCCCGGGAAGACCTGGGAAGAGGGATGATGAATTGTGTTCAGGCCAATTTTGGAGCCAAAAAACTGCCGCTATGTTGTTCTTAGACATACTACACGTATAATGTTAATAGCATTTGTTGGTATTAACTGTGGTTTGAACTGTTGGTATTAACTACCAAACATTAATAGGATCTGTTGATCAAACCACATAATCGGTTGGTCATATTTGGTCATGTTTTTGTGATTCAACAGTTCAAACCATACGTGCTCTTGATCATAAACAAATTTGACACAATTCCGCATGATAGTCCGTCTTACGTCAGAGCCATCCCAAATGATGCACTGCAATATACATCGGGTACAACTGTACAACTATCTAGAATGACTTGTCAATAATATGTTTGGAGTATGATTTCTTCTCCTTGATATTACTTAGTCATATTGAATACCTCCTTAGAAACCCTGGTTGAGTACTGGGTCTAGTCATTTTGTAGTCCCTTTTTGGTGGTATTACCATTACGCGAAGTGGATTAGTCTAAAATATTGGCTTAAAACCAGAGACCAAAGTGACCAAAGTCTGCATAGACTCCGCAAGCACCAAGTGATGCAAAGTCCTGTGGATATTCTCCAAGAATTTTTGTTGTGACGAAGGATTTTTAATAACCACTTATATAGAGCATCCAAGAGTTACTTGAATATGGGATGCACTCTCAAATGAGGAGATAGACCAACCAATCTGATTGGGGGATATCTGAGGTCGAATTGTGGATGGTAAATATCCATCCATAATCATGTCAGTAAAGCAATGTCATCAACCAGCCATACGGATGGATTGGAATCCCACCCATCATGGTAAATTTGTGAATGGTGGATCCTATTGCTTTACGAACTGTACTAATACCTGGTTGGTGGTTTGGAACATTTGGATTACTTTCCCATTCAGTTGGGAATGTCATCATCCCAACTGACTTTCACTCGATCATTTTTCAGAGGGGTAGGTCAACCACCAACCAGATTATTATTAACCATCAATAACCATATAATAATCATAGATTAACCATTATTAACAGTACAAAAACATCAACGATTGATGTGGGGTGAAAATATGACGCACCAACCAGGAGAATCCATCCATGCCCAGGCATCAGGAATCTTCACGGGCGATGCTTGGCGATATCGCAGAAGAAGATAGGCACCAGGAAGAATCCTAAGTGCTTAGCCAATCTGCAATTATTGATGATGTGCAATAAGTAAAAGTGTATATTATATTATATATAGCATGTTTCACACTCTAATTAATTAGTTACATTGAACGCTATATACTGTACATGCAAGTCTTTCGATACATATGGACATGCATGTTTCTGTATTCTGTACAATATATATATAGACAATATATATATAATTATATATATAGTATATATACATATATATATAATAATATATTGGTATATATATACATATATATATATGTATATATACACATAATTTATTTACATATGCTAGCCAACAATGATAGCAACCACGGGCGTGCAGCGAGCTCCCCCTCGTGTGGAATACAACGGAAGGGTGAACAGTCGTTGGGCACCCTGCAGTAACCAACATGGCTATGGAAAATCACCATGTTTAATAAAGGTAAAAACATCTACAAATGGGCAATTTTCGATAGCCACGTGTGAACTTACCAGAGGGTATCCGGTTTTGACACATTCCTAGTTCCAGCGAACTGAAAAGTGAGTATGTACACGAATATAAAAATATCCCCACTAGCAGAAGCATGGTGGTTAGTAAAATTCTTGCTTTTGTTGAGGTTCAACTCCCTACCCTGATGAGGTATACGTACCTTATGTTATTTTATGTTATATTATGTTATGTTATATACAGTACAGTATGTTAAGTTATGTTATGTTATGTTATGTATTGTTATGTATTGTTATGTCATGTCGTGTCATGTCATGTCATGTCATGTCATGTATACATACATTACACTACACAACATTACATTACATTACCATACAATGCATACATTACATACATGACATACATTACATACATTACATACATTACATACATTACATACATTACATACATTACATACATTACATACATTACATACATACAATACATACAATACATACAATACATACAATACATACAATACATTACATACAACACAATACAAATACAATACATTATATTCCATACCATAACATTACATTGCATTGCATTACATTACATCATCCATCCAGACATCCATGCATCCATGCATACACGCATCCGTGCATACATGCATCCATGCATACATCCAATGCACACATCCAATACATACATACAATACATACAATGCATACATTGCATACAATACATACAATACATACAATGCATACATTGCAGACAATACATACAATACATACAATACATACAAGGCATACATTTCATACAATGCATACAATGCATACAATACATACAATGCATACATTGCATACAATGCATACAATACATACAATACATACAATGCATACAATGCATACAATATAATACATACAATACATACAATACATACAATCCATACATATCCATACAATCCATATAATACATACAATACATACAATACATACAATACATACATTACATACAATACATACAATACATACAATGCATACAATACATACAATACATACAATACATACAATGCATACAATGCATACAATACATACAATACCTAGAATACATACAATACATACAATGCATACAATGCATACAATATAATACATACAATACATACAATACATACAATACATACAATACATACAATACATACAATACATACATTACATACAATGCATACAATGCATACAATATAATACATACAATACATACAATACATACAATACATACAATACATACAATACATACAATACATACATTACATACAATGCATACAATGCATACAATATAATACATACAATACATACAATACATACAATACATTCAATACATACAATACATACATTACATACAATGCATACAATACATACAATACATACATTACATACAATGCATACAATGCATACAATGCATACAATGCATACAATATAATACATACAATACATACAATACATACAATACATACAATACATACAATACATACAATACATACATTACATACAATGCATACAATGCATACAATACATACAATGCATACAATACATACAATGCATACAATACATACAATACATACAATACATACAATGCATACAATGCATACAATACATACAATACCTACAATACATACAATACATACAATGCATACAATATAATACATACAATACATACAATACATACAATACATACAATACATACAATACATACAATACATACAATACATACAATGCATACATACAATACATACAATACATACAATACATACAATACATACAATACATACAATACATACAATACATACAATACATACATTACATACAATGCATACAATGCATACAATACATACAATACATACATTGCATACAATGCATACAATACATACAATACATACATTACATACAATGCATACAATGCATACAATACATACAATACATACATTACATACAATGCATACAATACATACAATGCAGACAATACATACAATGCATACAATGCATACAATACATACAATACCTACAATACGTACAATACATACAATACATACATTACATACAATGCATACAATGCATACAATACATACAATACATACATTACATACAATGCATACATTACATACAATACATACATTACATACAATGCATACAATGCATACAATACATACAATACATACAATGCATACATTACATACAATGCATACAATACATACAATGCATACAATACATACAATGCATACAATGCATACAATACATACAATACCTACAATACGTACAATACATACAATACATACATTACATACAATGCATACAATGCATACAATACATACAATACATACAATACATACAATGCATACAATGCATACAATACATACAAGGCATACAATGCATACAATGAATACATTGCATACAATGCATACAATACATACAATACATACAATACATACAATACATACAATACATACAATGCATACAATGCATACAATACATACAAGGCATACAATGCATACAATGAATACATTGCATACAATGCATACAATACATACAATACATACAATACATACAATACATACAATACATACAATGCATACAATGCATACAATACATACAAGGCATACAATGCATACAATGAATACATTGCATACAATACATACAATACATACAATACATACAATACATACAATGCATACAATGCATACAATACATGCAATACCTACAATACGTACGTACGTGCGTACATACATACATCCATTCCCACTTCGACCAACAGCGGTTTTTGGGTCCAATTCCATGTCCTGTGTTGGAAATCCCTGAGAAAAATACTAACCACTGAGCGCCACCTCAGGACGTGTCCAACCCTCCGCCTGATGCTTTGATGGTTTCTTCTGAACCCTATGGGCCGCCACTGTTCCTGTGATAGCCGGGCTGCGGAACCCCAATGGGGTGGTCAACTGGGATCCCTCATTTTGACATATTTTGACCCCTAATGTGGCCATGTTTTACCATGTTTTAAGCCATAATTCCAGGGGTTATCAACTTATATCAACTTGGGTGAAGTGACTTGGGTGAATTCTCTGTGTTACTTGGGTAACATAACCTGAATGACACTCCCAGGTGTCCGCCAGAGATGTGTCAATTCTGGTTGGATGTGAATCCCAGGTAGGGCGAAATGTGAAATATGGCTGGGAACAGCCATGGAACCATGTGTACGTTCATATTGATTCATAGATGTTGTACATTGTTGTACTATACCGGTTCAAACATGTTTGTTATTTTGTTATTTGGTTTCATCCGATTGTTTGTTTGTGAATTCACCTTAAATCCCATGTTTTGTTGGTTCACTCTACGTTTTCCTGGTTTAATCACAAGTCTTTCATGTTTACTGGTTGCATCAAAATCCCAATTCCATTTGTGGCTGGTTGCTGATATGTCTACGGGTTGCTGATAAAATCCACATTATATAAGTCATACAATTGGTGATATGAGTATTCACCCATATTCTTGGTTTTATCACCATTTTGAAATGATGTTCACATTACATACCAATTATGTAATATACACCATTTGACAACATGCATCCCTTAATTTTGTTACCATTTCTGATGGTTCATGACATCACATGACATCACTATTTTTGACGTTTAAGTCACCCTTTTCTCAGGGTTCAATCATGTTCAATCGTCATTTTTGCCGGTGAAACCACCATAGGCGCGGCGGCAAGAAGCGACGGCGAGCCCTGCCGATGCCGCCGCTACCGCCGCTGCCGCCACCGCCCTTGGCGTTGATGGACGGTGAGGCGCGTGGTTGGGCAACGCTGGGACGATGGAAGCAAGAAAGCATGGATTGATATGGGGTTTTCCTCAATGGGGGTACCCTCTGGTAATTTAACAGTTTGCTATTGAAAATGACCATTTATAGTGGATTTTCCCATGAAACATGGTGATTTTCCATAGTTATGTTAGTTTACCAGAGGGTACATCAAAACCATCGGTTTCAATACTTAAATGATTTTTAATGATCTTAAATGGTTGAATGACTTGGATGATTTGGGGGTACCCCCATTTTAGGTTTCACCCCATATGAGGATGGGTCAACACTTACCATATTTGAAAGGAAGAATCATCCATGAACCCAGCTATTACAGTACAGGGTAGAGGTCCAGGGTTTGACTCATAGCATCTCCATATCCAGCCATAATCTCCACAAAAAGTTCCATCTACTGTGATGACAATTCCATATCCATATTCGTTTATGACATATTTATATATAATTATATATAATATGTACAGATAATAAAACTATGATAAACTATGATATATCATATGTAATATCCATACATATGTGAGAGATAAAGAAATAGATGGATGAAAACATGGATTCAGCAATGTTGATATATTATGTTATAGAATATTATAGATGGAAACATGGACTAATCAATGGATTCCATATCCATATCCCTTTAATATATATATATAGATACGTTATATCCATTTATAATCTAACAGATTCCATCTATTTCTTACAATCCATCTATATTTTAAATGAAAGGATTCCATATCCAGGAAACCATAATCATTCATAATGTATAATCCATCTATAAGATATGATCCATCTATAATATGCTAATGCAGTCCAACTATTACTTAGTCCATGTATCACATATAATATGTACGTTTATCATACATATCCATTGATATCGATATCCACTTTTACGAATATCACCATTTCTGCCATGATTGCAGGATCATTTGAATCATGTACTCTTTGGTAAACTAACTTAGCTATCGATAATCCAGACTAAAATAATAGGAGGTATCATGTGTTTCAAATACATAAAATATGGATTATTATCATTAACTGATTATATGTTCTATAACACTTAGCTAATTAAACGTGTGATATCATGGCTTCCATAGCAAACTCTTTTTTATGCCCCCCGCGGGGTATTTCCATGACATAGTGCACCAAAAGCGAGGATTGAACCCGCCCCATGGCTGGTGCACGGAAAATCTGGGTCCGAAATGGGTGCCATATTCCCAAAAGCAGTCAGTACAGGAATGATTCAATGATTGAATCATTATGGAAAAACCAAGACATGGATTTGTTGAACATATGGATTTGCAGTCAAAATTATTCATCCCTTCCCTCCAATGCTAAACCCCGCCCCCTCTACTAATAAACACCCGGAGGAGTTTTTAATATTAGGAGGTATTAAGTATTAGGGTGCAAAGCTTCCCTCTAATACTACATTTAAAATCATTTAAAACCTAAAAAACACATGTTTTTTTCTATGTTAAAATCGATTAAATTCCTTTTTAAAATCTAATTAAAGTATTGCCAACAATGAGATTTCGAAGGTTCCCCTAATATTAACTTAAACACCTTAATACAAAAAAAAAAACTTTAAAGGACGGAGCCTTAAAAAAAACACCCTGGTGTCGACTAGTTCTTATTATTGTCGACTAGTTCTTATTATTAGTGGGTGAAACGCTCAAATGGATTTAAATGGGACCTTCCTTTCTAAATTGTTTTCTAAGGGGGATCAATTAAAACTCAAATTGGCCAACTCCAAATTTCCCAAAATTTTAAATGGACCCTAGTTTTGAGTATTTGGGGTACGTTTAGTAATAGGGGAAGGATTAGTATGATTTGATTTCCAGTCAAAAAGCCATATTATGTTTTGCAGTCAACTGAATCATATGAAAATCACGTGGCGTTAGTAAACTTCAAATGGCAGCAGTGTCCCGAAAAGCCCTGGCGTTTGCAGCCAAGGTTTCACCAAAGAGGTCCAAGGGAGATCCGTTGACGCCCAAGTTGAAACCCATGAACTACAAGACCCAGCTCTGTAGCACCTCGGCAGGTTAAGCCCAAGAATTGGGTGAGATATCAGAAGCTTAGCAAAAAACATGGAATTTCAACATGTTGTATGATTTCTATGTCATACTGTTGGAGAGAGATGTGATTGGACCAATTTGACGCATACCCAAATTTCAAACAGCTGAACTCCGATCCGTGGATCCAACCCATTCGAGGTGAATGATCGCCACTATGGCTCATTGAGTTCGTGGATTTACCTATGAGAAATGGTGGATCTTTCCAGTTCGTTATGTTAGTTTACCATGGATTCAACATACCCTCTGGTTATTTAACATAGCCATGGAAGCCATGGCCCATAGAAATAGATGATTTTCCCAGCTATAAACCTCCATTTATGGAGGGGATTTTCCATGGCTATGTTAGTCATAACCAGAGGGTAACTATGGAAAATCACCATTTTTCCATAGAAAATCACCATTTTTCCATAGAAAATCACCATTTTTCCATAGAACATCACCATTTTTTATCGTCTCCGATCCCATGGATTCATGGGGCTTGGTGCCAGTTGCGCTTCGCAGGTGACTTTCAGAAAGAGTTCGCTTGCGCTCGTGGCTGGGCGTTGAGTGGGCCAGGATACCAGGGCTAGCCTGCAGCGATTGGTGAAGTCGTGAGTATGATATATACTTATAGATACTATACCATATACTATCTATACTAATATATGAATATATTATGAATATATATATATATATGTATACACTTATTTTTGAATATATATATATATATATATCAGAGCATCCATGAAATGTCTGATTTCTTGTCTGGCAGCATATGTATACCCCGGAATATATGAATATATATATATATACACAAACTAGTTTATATATACGCTGTGATCTATGTATATATATACTAATATATATATATATACTAATATATATATATATACTAATATATATATATACTAATATATATGTATATATATATATATGTATGCATAGAAATCATTATATATATATATATATTCAGGCTATAATATATATATATATATATTGAATATACATCCTGTACTATATATTCTGTATATACATACATACTATATGATATATATATATATGTATATATATATATATGCTGATGTTTCATTTTAATGACCTTAGCCGGACTCCGGCTTGACCAGCTAGGGGGATGTTCCAAGAATCTAACTGGGGGTATACGCCATGGATCCTAACTGGGGGTATAAGCACCTCCAAGTTACAGATTAGAGATTGGGTATTGAGTACAGATAGGGAGGATCATTTGTTATTAAGTAGGCCCTTAGTTCTTTTGCCAGGACTTGGTTTCGTGATTCTGTGGCATTGAACTTTCCCGGCTTGGAGATGTGTAGGTTCTGTCCTGTTGCTAAAATGAAGCTTTGAGACCTCCGTCCAGGCAAATCCTTAGTTTCTAGAGATAACGGGGGTCTGCACACTCACAGAAATAGATGAAATAGGAATGTGGTTCCCAATGAAGTATTATTTTTGAGATGATACATAGTTAGGTAATGTTAGGTATATGTATGTTACATGTATGTATTGCTATCTCGTTGTTATTTTTATTACTGTAATACCCCCCGACCCTGGCAGTCCCTGGAGCCGCCTGTCCAGGGGGCGATTCCTGCCACTTCGCGCATGGTGAAGAAGAGTTGCGCAAGCCTGGAGAGGCGATCGAGCGTTCGGTGAACAGCCCCTTTTCCAAAACCGGTTTGGCAAAATGGCTTGGTGATGGGGTAGTATATTGGTATATGATTGTACAATGATTATACAAAATGGCTGTTATGTTGTTTAATATTTTTTAATATATGTTTATTCATTATACATATATATATATATGTTTGTATTTACTGATTTTACTACAGGTCAGAGCATCCACGATTAGTCCCATGACAGGTCGGGAAATCCTCACATAATTCATGAATGTCAGACTCAAAAAATGGGTAGTGACTTTCCGCTGAATGGGCCTGGCGGCCTGGCAATCTCCCATTTTGATCCAACGCAGCGATGGAAATCACCCGGATCCAGCCATGTAGCTGAGAGTCCCCAGCCATGTTTGATGACAGGTGAAGCCTGAAGACTTCAAAACAGAGGCACAAATTAAAAAGGGGTTCAGCCAGAGCCGTTTGAGGAGATTCTGGAGGATTAGAGTAGAATTAAATGGAAAGAGAGGGCAGACCAACAGAATATTTCAGAAGCCCAACTGGAGCAAGCAGTGCCCGAAAGGTTCATGAATGGTATAGACGCTGGCAACAGCTCCATTCACCCATGAAAAACAGAAGGATGATGGTATCATTAACCATCATTAGCCATCCAAAAACACCACCACGGGTTTGTCCATAGTGCCATAGACCCCCCAAATTCGCATAAATCAATGGGGAATTTATGATGATAAACCATAGGGATTTCAATGGGGATTTATGGGGGTAGCCACAATTCAGACATAGGGTCCATCCCCAGAACATGACCAACATGACTGGTGCCATCCACATATGGGAGTTTCCTAAAATGATGGAAATTACCCCGTAGGTCACCATGGTCCTTTTACTAAGTTATGGTTGAATGATGTCGAATGACTTGGATGATTTGGGCTCCTATGACTTAGGAAACCAGCATAAAAATCAACAACCCACCCAACTAATGAGCCTCGAACATTGACAAACGGCACTAAGGCGATTTGCCACCTGGCTTAGACCATTCAGATCCATTCAGGGTGAGTGTGATTCGATGTTTTGCTCATTTGGTGTCCACTATTCAAATTTACCCTCAAAAAAATCAACAAAGCGCGCAGGACTCCGCCAAGAAAAAGATCTAATTGATTCTATAGATGATGTTTCCATACTTTTCCAACAGCAGTTCCTACCACTTTACTCTGCCCCACCCTCTGCACGTAGGAAGAAATGGTGAATGAAAGCTTGGACCGCGAGGGCACAACTCCAGCCCCAGTTTGAGGGCCAAGTGGGCACCCCCCCAGGGGTTCGGGGGGTGACACCTTGCAACCTTGCATCAGAACCATATACCTAGTAACATCATATATATATAATATAGATATATATATATACACACGGTAACGACACTTAAATATGTGGAGGGCGGACCACAAGGCCCCGGAGGTAGAACGAAACGCCAGATCCATCCGTATATTATATTTGAATGTATGTTTAAATAAACCGGTTTCCGTATGTTTAAATTAAATGGCCGGGCGGGCCAAGGAAAACCTTCCCGGAGGTAGTCTAAAATCCCAGTTCGTATATTAAGATAAACATAAAAAATGTGTATATTTAGATGTAGTTACTGTACAAAAACATGTATACATATAGGTATATATAATTATATACATAATATACACCTTGTCTATTTAACATAGACCCTGAGAAAGCAGTCAACTTTGACCGGAAACTAATCTTCCAACCCCCAACTCATGCCAGGGTCTGTGTGAAAATTGCGGGAGGATATATACACGCATCATACGTACCATACATATCAGACATATCAGACGTACCAGACGTACCAACCATAGAATATCATATATAGATCATATTAATTATAGATCATATATAGATGATATACATGATATATTCATATACAGATGATATACCCATAGAATCCATGTATGGTATATATATATATGCTAACATTTACCATCAATATACCCCAAATGTTAGCATATATACCATACATGGATCCTATGGGTATACAACCTTTGATCTTTGTAAACCACCAAAAAAAAACGGGTTCCCCGTTCGTTCAGAACGTCCAACGCTCAGGGGCCACGCATTTTCCTCCGGAGGGAAGACCTCTTCTGGATCGAATTGGATACCTCTGAGGCAAGGAAAACTACCCTCTGGTAATTTAACATAGCTATTGAAAATGGCAATTTATAGTGGATTTACCCATTAAACATGGTGATTTTCCATAGTTATGTTAGTTTACCAGAGGGTAACTGGTGGAGAAAATGGTAGAATATATGGGGGTTTCCATAGTCATAGTGGTACCCCAATAGCTGGATGGTTTATATTAGTTTATATATATAGTTAATAATGGAACTTCCATTGGATGATTTAGGGGTACCTCGATTTTAGGAAACCTCCATATGGGAATAGATATATGTATAAATATGATGCTATTCCCACTAATATGATTCCCAATAATATAATGATGTGATGTATATATATATATATATACAATGGGAATAATATACAGGATTTAGACAGTTGTAACATTACTGCAACATATGGGAATATTGGATTTTTACCAGCAAAATTGCCAGTAGTACAGTAAGGACTATCATGTACATATATATATATACACGTAAAATGGGGATTATGGATAAAGTATGGGAATATGTGAATCCTGACCATGATAATTGATTTTTGACGATGGATAAGATATGGGAATATATAATATATCGGAATATTTGAACTGGGAATATGGATCAAATTTTTGGGTTTTTTCCACATGAAAATTGAGAATCAACCATAGGGATTGAACATGACTCCCGTCATCATGGGAAGCTCATTCCTTTCAGCCTCCTTAAAATTCTTAAAATAACTCCCATTAGAGAAGCCCACATGTTTGTTTTTGCTTATGGGAATGAGTGTCCCGCGCTAGCCTCTCCAAGGCAACTATCAGCCTAAAAGACTGCAGTTGTGCTTGGAGATGGTGTTTGCCGCATCGTTACAATCAGTTTTCAACGGTTTAAGCAACAACAATAGGGAGTTAACCATCCGAATTTCAGGTCAACCTTGGTATCGATGACTGGGTAAGTATCTTAGTTGGATGCGATCGTGATTTCACCACAAAAACCCACAAAGCATGGGGATTTTTTTCGGCAAAACAATCCCATAATACACATGTTTTTTTTCCAGTAAAACATCGGTTTCATCGCCACAAAGATCGGGGACCCATGGACGGTTACCCATGGGACCCCTTAGGGACCATCAAAAATCAGATGGTTTGGATCCCCAGATTTACAGAAACAACAACTGTGGTGAAATCTTTTTCTGTACCCTAAAAAAATCAGTTGCTCTTGGTTTTTCTGTGTGTTTTCTTTACTGATCAGATCTCATCATATCTTGAAACGGCTTTGGGATGCCACTGGGACTGTTCATCCCAGCCCTCTTTATCCATGGCCGAATCCAAAGATGCTGGAAATTGTTGAACTGTCCATTGGAAATTTTCCGGACCCCCAATAATGGGAGCCCCGTTTCCATAGGCTCCATACTATATGGAATCCCATCACTGCGAGTCATGTTCAAGATATTGTTATACAATGTTATACATATATATATATAGCCTAGCCATGTCATCAATTTTCAGTGGTGAATCCCCATTATTGATGATTAAATTCCGATTATAGGATTCTCATGATTACTCATTATTGGTGTTTGATTGTTCAAAACTATATGGATATTACTTGCGTTATAACTATAACTAACTGGTTGGTGGTTTGGAACATTTTGTGTTTTTCCATATACTGGGAATAGTAACCCCAACTGACTACCCTCTGGTAAACAGCCACATAACTATGGAAAATCACCATGTTATAGCTGGGTAAATCCACTATTTCAATGGCAATTTTCTATAGCTATTTTGACATAACCAGAGGGTAGTATTTTTCAGAGGGGTGGCTCAACCACCAACCAGATTATTATTAACCATCAATAACCATATAATAATCATAGATTAACCATTATTAACAGTACAAAACCACCAACCAGATAAAAAAATGTAGGATTCCATGAAAGCAGCGCCAGGAAGTGCCGAAGCAGCTGGAGGGACTTCCCATGGAGGTGTCGTTGCGTCGTTGGGGGCCCCCCAAAATGAAGAGATCCAAAACTCAACTAGGGCCTAGGGGTTTAGTAGGTAAGTATACATATATATATATAATCATATATATATATATATATACATAATATGTATATACTTATATGTATATAATTATATAATATATTGTAAACTTTCATAATTCAAGGAAATAAGGGAATTACTCGGAAATAAGATTTAGGATATTTGCAAACCAATTGTTTCGGATTGAAATCCAGTTTGAAAGGGTTTTGAGCAAATTGTATTGAATCAGGTAACTACAGCCATCCACATGACTCATTTTGTGAAGAATTTGGGTGACAAACTAGTTCATGTTCACAGCGTAGGTCAAAGTAAAGTATGCGCAGAAAATAACAGGAGCCATAAAGAAACAAATGCAGGCACCTAAAGAAACCATCCAAAACAAATACTTACAACATCCTACAACAGTTCTTTGGACTTGCTCCAGAGCAGCAGCTGTTGTTGTTGGGCATGAAAATGGAAATAATCTATATACATTCTTTAATTATTCAAATCTGTTCGCTTTTGTTCGAAAATTGTGTTTAACCATGTTCATGTTTATGTTTCTTGGTCTTTCGTTTTTACATGTATGGTGTTTAAAATTATTTTGTTTTTTTTTTGCGGACAGAAGCC